GGAGGGGAGAGGCACAGTTAGGTGGGACGGCGGGGCTGGAAGGTGCCGCAGCGGGCGGGGCGGGGAGTAGGAGCGTCGGGAGCAGGCTGGATGGGGCTGCTCGAGGGGAGACGCGCAGCTGGACGTGGGGGGAGCATCTGGGGTGAAGGAGCCCATCTGAGGACGAGGGGCCATGTCTAGAACGAAGATGCACATTGCGGGGAATGGTGGGTGTAACTGGAAGGAGGGGCCCACAGCTGGACTGGGGGCCGCATCTGAGGAGCAGGGGACCACAGGTGAATATTGCTGACACTTCCGAGGAGAACTAGCCACAAGTGGGGCACACACCTGTAGGCGAAGTGTCGATAACTGCATGTGGGGAGCACATCTGGAGATGAGAGCGTCTCCAGGGAAGCCCCAGCCACAGCTGCATGTGGCGAGCCATAGGGTCATAATCGGGGGAAGGGGCAACAGCTGCACGCCAGAGACATATCTGGGGAGTGCGGAGCCACAGGTGCATGAAGCATGTGACCGGGTGAGGGGTCCGTGGCCTGGGTGTGGGAGCACATCTGGAGATGGAGCGTCTTTGGAGGGGTTACAGCCAACTGTTGACACATGGAAGGAGGAGTTCCAGATGATTATGAGCGCTAGAGGTTACTCTTGGGTGAGAGACACAGCTGGAAGGGGAGGAGGTTTTAGCTGGAATTTGAGAACACATTTGAGGAGATGTCCACGGCTGAGCTTAAGGGTCATATTTTGGGAGACGGGATTTCAACTGTACCTAAGGGTCACATCTGCGGAAGAGGAGGCGAGTTGGAATTAGGAATCAAGATGACAGGCTCCACGTGAACCAGGGATAAGGCGGTGGGAGGAGGCCAAAGATAGGGTGGAAGTTTATATTTATATATCTGGAGAAAAACAGGCACGTCCGACCCCGGGCTACCCACCTCGATAGAGGCACCAGCACCGACGGGGCAGGCCGAGAATGGGGTAGATGAGATACCCCGGGTGGGAATGGGTCTGATATCCACCTGTTCTCCTCTCCTCCACGCAGGCCCCCAGGATGGAGCGGCCGGAGCCCCCACCTGGCACGGCTGCGGGGCAGGAGGAGCAGGAGCTGCGGGAGCGGGCCTTCTTCTCGTGGGCCGAGTTCAGCCGCTTCTTCGACGCGTGGTGCCAGCAGCGGCTGGCACTCTTCTTCGTCAAGAGCTCTATGCACCTGGCGCGCTGCCGCTGGGCCAGTGCGCCCCCGCTCTACACACTCATCGACGTGCTCAAGTACAGCTACGTGCGGCTCGTGTGCAAGGACGTGCGTGCGCCCAGCCGGCCCGCCGTGGGGTGCGTGAACCTGAGCGCTGTCCTGCTGGGGGGAAGGGGAGCACCGGGGGTGGGTGCGGGTGGGAGAGGGGCAGAGAACACCCCACCCAGAGATGCAGAGGGAGAGAGGCCAACTGAGACAGCCAAATACACCTTGCAAAGAGGCGGGAGTCAAGGAGGGACATGTACCGAGAGACAGTGAGAAGAGGAGCTAGAGAGATAAAGACACTCACGGAGCAAGAGATGGTGTGGGCTCGACTTACACACTTTTTTTGTCTTTTTTCGAGATGGAGTCTCGCTCTGTCGCCCAGGCTTGAGTGCAATGGTGCCATCTTGGCTCACTGCAGCCTCCACCTCCCAGGTTCAAGTGATTCTCCTGCCTCAGCCTCCCGAGTGGCTAGGACTACAGGCACCTGCCATCATGCCCGGCTAATTTTTGTGTGTTTTTTTGTTTGTTTGTTTTGTTTTGTTTTTTGAGACAGAGTCTTGCTCTGTCACTCAGGCTGGACTGCAATGGCACAATATCGGCTCACTGCAACCTCCACCTCCCGAGTTCAAGCGTTGTTTCTCCTGCCTCAACCTCCTGAGTAGCTGAGATTACAGGTGCGCGCCACCACGCCTGGCCAATTTTTGTATTTTTGTAGAGATGGGGTTTCACTACATTGCCCAGGCTGGTCTTGAACTCGTGACCTCAGGTGATCTGCCCGCCTCACCTCCCAAAGTGCTGGGATTACAGCCTTGAGCCACTGTGCCTGGCCTGACTTACAGAATTTAATAGAGACTTCGAGAGGCAGAGCATAAAACACACACCCCAAGAGGAGAAAAAAGTCATG